ATGATATTCGTCTTTCTAATCAAATGGTCGTAAAAGTTCAAATTCCATCCAATATTTCACTATATTTAATTTTAGTCGATTAAATGTGGCGAAACATTTATCATAATTGATCAGAAATCAATAAAGCGAACAAACAAACACACAACAGACATTCTTCTTTATAAGTGTAGATTTTGTAAAAATTACAAATTTATGATTAACAGACTCTACGATTTGAAAGCGAGTAGTAGCAACACATTTCGAAATAGAACATTTTTATCTCCAACGCGCTAGACTGTTGCCTCTGGGAAAAATGAGTGCAAAAATTAGCGCCTCAGAGTTTTCAATTAATATTTCGGCTGATTAAAGTCGTGCGAAGATGGAAATAGTCGAAATGGTTTCAGGCGAGTTTTTGGAATCGGGAATAATGTATTTAATGTTTGGCAATGCTATTTTAATTTTATCATAAAACTTAGAAATTTTTTATTAACAAACTCTACGATTTGAAGGCGAGCAGTGGGACAACTTTCGAAATAAAGCAGATTTTCATCTCCAGCTTACGTGACTGTTGCCAATGAGAAAAAAGAGGGCGGAAATTATCTTTTTTCCGAGTTTTTAATTAATATGTGTGATTTTAGCTCTTTTTTTTATTTTTTAGTAAAAAGTGGACTTCGACCTTTTCCAGGATCCAGAAAAGAATCGTAGAAACTTTTGCGACGATAGCTATAGTAGTAACTGAGTTATTAGAGGGCAAACACACAGACTTTCTTCTTTATACATAGCGTATTCGGAAAGTAAGTACCGTTTCATTCTAGCGCCGTCGCAGCGCTGTGGTAGGCGTCCCGCGCATGCGCACTAGTCTTTATTGTTCACTGACTTTCAATTGTCGCCATTTTGGTTGCTCTATGTTGTGTTTTCAGTTTGCTGTGCACATTCAAAATGTTTAAGACAATTAGTTCTCCCGCTGACTGTGACATTCGTGCCGTGATTAAATTTTTGAACGCGAGGAATGTTAAACCGGCCGAAATTTATCGTCAAGTGACAGAAGTTTACGGTGAATACGTGTTAAGTGATGGAATGGTGAGAAAGTGGGTAAGAATGTTTAATGCAAGTCGAACAAATGTCCACGCCGAGGCTCGGAGTGGTCGGTCTTCTGTTGTCACCGATGATTTGGTAAGGAAAGTTGATGAAGCAATTCATGAGAACAGACGCTTCACAATGACAACTCTTTCAGAGGCATTTCCACAAATTTCACGTACTGTTTTGTTCGAAATTGCGTCTGACCGCTTGAATTATCGCAAACTGTGTTCCCGATGGATTCCAAAAATGCTCACTGATGTTCACAAAACAAAGCGACTTGGTTTCCCCTGACATTTCTCACGCGGTACAGTGATGAGGGAGAAAACTTTTTAAAACAAATTGTGACAGGTGATGAAACTTGGGTGTGTCTTTTCACACCAGAATCGAAACAACAATCGATGGAGTGGAGACACACTAACTCTCCGAAAAAACAAAAGTTCAAAGTGACAATGTCATCACAAAAAATCATGTCTTCTGGGGATAGGAAAGGCGTTTTGCTTACTGAATTTCTTCCCAGAGGTGAAACCATTAATGCGGCACGATATTGTGAGACTTTAACAAAACTAAGGGGTGCCATTCAAAACAAACGAAGAGGAATGCTCAGTAAAGGAATTGTGTTGCTCCATGACAATGCTCGGCCCCATACTGCTGGTGTCACTCAATCGTTAATTCGACAGTTTCATTGGGAGCAGTTCGATCACCCGCCGTACAGCCCGGACTTGGCGCCGTCCGACTATCACTTGTTCCTGCACATAAAGCGCGAGCTTGGTGGCAAGCGCTTTGGATCTGACGCTGACACGAAAAATGCTGTGGAGTCGTGGTTATCGAAACTGGCGGGAAGTTTCTTTGATGATGGTATACAAAAACTGGTCACCCGCTATGACAAGTGCTTGATCATTGGCGGAAACTATGTTGAAAAATAGTTGAAGACATGTATTTTCATGTAAAAATAAAATTGGATTCGAAAAAATTGTTTTACTCTTTTTTTTTTTTCAAAACGTTACTTAGTTTCCGAATACGCCTCGTATATATAGATTATATAGTGCAGTAACAATTCAAAAACCATCTTTCTACAATTGAATCAAATCCTAAAAGACTCTCCAGTCTTTCGATCTTAGGTCTCTCGAATTCTTCACATAATTTTTTTTATGTGAAGAATTCGAGAATAAGATTAGTTAGTATTTCCCACATATTGTTCTTGTGGAAGAATTTCAGAATAAAAAGGCAACGTAAAATTTCGATTTTTTTTAATTACACGAATTTAATAATACAATTTACAAAAATACAGCTAAATTTATTGAAAAGATAGAAATGAAGTTAAATAAATCTTGAGCTTAATTTATCAATGTAATTGAATTCTTACAAAAATATTTGAGTAATAAATCTAATTTTTGAAATTTTCTAGAATTTCTTTAATTAAATAAGCATAAAAAAGGAGATTCTTTTTCTCTAAATTCTTTCCAGATTTGAGCTGTCTATGAGGTGATATTAGTGATATTTCCTGGGAATATGCCTAGAATATTCCAAATCAGTTGCGAATCCACCGGGAATGTTAAGAAAGAAATGAAATGAAATGAAATATTCCTGGGAGTTGTGTAAAGCAAAAGTATAAAAGTTGCAGTTAATTAAATAATTTCGCTGCCTTTACTAACACTGTAATGCCATGTTTTGACATTCAAATTTAAGACAGATGTCCCTGTTTGTTTGTCAGAAAAAGTTACAACTCCGAGTCAGCACATATACAAAATTTTTTACTTTCAATGAAGTCTAAAAAACTTCCATAAACTGATACGTACTTATTTCCTTCTGCCGTAAAATGATTGTACTCTTCTTCGTCTCCGACAGTTTTTATACCTTTCTTATACCTCTTATGCTTTTTATATCTCTTATGCTGAGTTATGCTGGCTATGCCGAATCAGCTTAGAGCACCATTATCAGTAGCATTAATCTAACCCTCTTCTTTAGTACGAATTCTGAAGCTTCAAATTTACTTCCTGCATTTCCTATTCTAGGAATTCAAAATATACTAGTAGCTTATTGTTTCTATAAATTGTACTGGTCTTTATTACTAAATTCGTATTAAATTGTTTATATTGTACTGGTCTTCTTATTAAATTGTACTGGTATTTGGTTTATTTCTATCATATGCACTCATTATTAATTTAACACAATTATGGATAAATATTTAAAATACAAATCATTGTGAATTAATTTCAGGGAGTATCTCTTAATGTTACTAAGATAATTATAAATTTAAAAACTAAGCAAAAAACAACCTTTGTGTGGCGTAGATTTTGTATAAACCTTTATCAATTTCCAGGGCAATCAGACATAGCTCCACCTTCTTCAAGAAGAAAAAAGAAATTCTGCAACTGGTTGGAAACGCCATAACCATTCTGTGTGGAAATCAATAGGCGAAAAAAACGTGGCAGTGATGTAGCACCATTTATCGAAGAAAATAGTAGTAAAATGGTAAAGTTATTGCAGTTTTGAAAGCTTTCAGAGGAAATGGACTGTAATTCGTGCCATTAACTAAAGAAGATGATTTTGGGTGAAAGCTTCAAGGAAATCCAATGAACCAGCTAAAGAAGCTTTTTAGATAATTTTTGAAGAACCTGTCAAAATTGAAGTCAAAATTGATGTGCCTAATTATGATCCCCTAATCCTGGAGAAAGCAAAGTTGCATATTATTATTTTTCTTGGATCTTGCCTTGTCGAACTTCAACCAGGTATCTCTCTTTTTCTCAAAATTTTATAACATTATGAAAAGCGGTATTCTTCGTCTATCATTGCCAAAAGTGGAACCAGATATAGAAAAGAAACCTGCCAAATCAACATCAGCCATAAAAGGACCTCATTTAGTAAATAGATGTTGATGAAAGAAGGTTTGGATGAAAAGTAGTAGCACTACGTCTAGTTCCGAAAAGACTTTATTACCTTAGAAACACTTACGTGTCTATCTTTCTCTGTCAACTTACTGGAAGATGTCGTGCACCATCAGTACATTGACTTAAAGCTGATGTCTTGCAACGGTTGCTTTAAAGCAAGGATAACTTCCTTTCTACTATTGTAATAGATCCATGAGAGTTATTCTGTCATTTTGGCGAGGAGATGATAGTCCCAAAGACTCATATAAGGATCATTACGGCAGATGTCCGAGTACCTTCAATGGTCATCATCGGAAGAGATCTATAACAATGCTTCCATTATGACAATGAGCATTGCCATGAAAGAGGATGGGATCACCTGAAACTTCATCTGCGCCCAGCAGTCAGAAGAAAGCGACGACCTTTGTTGGTGCAGTGTCTCAGCATTTCGTACCGTCACCTTCACAGGAGATCAGAGACAACTGTCGCATTATGACATCGTATATTGTCATGAAGGACGATGGGATTAATCACCAACATATATCGTCGCTTTCTCCTCAGTGCTGGAAGCAGATGCTATCTCAGATGTTGTATCTCATTCTCCTCCATGACAACGTGCACAGTATCATAATATGAGAGTTGTAGATTTTCCGTGACAGTGGCGATGGAAGGTACTGGAATACTCACCATACTAATTTGGTATAAATCTATGTGACTATGATATCTTCGAAAGAATGAGGGGAAAATAAACGCTGCGAAGGATTATCTACAGCAATCGAGAACGGGTTTTTCATGCTTATGGTGGTCACTGTGGGACATCAACAGAAATGGAAGTGCTGATAGTTTACGAAGAGTTCAAGTAATTTAGTAGAAAATAATAGAACATGGGAGGCGATTATACGGAAGGTTTGCAAGTGCTTGCATGTACAGTAATGACGTATTTTCTGAACTATCGATATGTCGCCACTAATTTTTATCGAACCCTAATAAAAAGTCATAAATAATGTATAATACTTTACTACGCATTCATATTTCAGAAAAATTTATTTATCTTATAGAATTTTTTGTTGTCAGGAAACTGAACAAATACGCAATGCCGTCTCCGGGATTGGAACTCCAGACCTCCAGAATACGAGACGAGCGTGCTTCCAGTTACATCACGATGGCATGCAAGGAAGAAAATGCGTTATAAGTTCAAAATATATTCATTTTATTTTAATATATCTAAAGTGAAGCAAATATTCTTATTGGCTGTAAATAATAAAATAATCTCCTTTTTAACCTTTTTTTCAACTATATTTTCTTTTTTACTTTACATTATCTATGTAGAGTTGAACTTGATTAATAACTGAAAATGAGTAGCATATATTCATTTCTTAATGCATGTATTATATTAATAACAGCAAGCAAAGCTAGTCTCGTGCTTGTTAGAAATTATGAATGCTTTGACAACGAAGACAGAAAGCATTCGCATCGGGCATTACATGAAGCTTTTTGACAATAAATGCAACTGCTCCGTCACCTGATTCATTTGTAAAAAAGGCTAGATTGAAACTAAAAGGTGCTACCCATTCCCTGAGAGCATCCTGTTTTCAAGTGTAAGTTGAGAGACTAGTCTGGATATTTTATGCAGTAATTGTCTTCAACCTTGAGAAAAACAAAATAAACTTTATTGAGGGAGGCATTCCTTCAATTAGTACGGTTTTCGAAACTGTGGTAAGTTTTTGATGACCTTGCCACAGTTAAAAAACCGTTTCGCTCCTCAAAAATCAAAATATAGCTTTTAAGTACATGAAACAACATGTGGTCATCCATTTAAGTCCTCCCACTTCAATATCTCGTTAGAATTCCTCCATCGCATTTCTCTGCTAGATAGGTCGACTAATCTTTTCTTTGGTAGGGAATGACAGAAAGGAAACTCTTTCACTTTTTGATACGTAGATATCGTCATGAAATCGCTCAAATGAACAGAATATCCCATGGGAACGTTATATATCGTCCCTAAATTTGAAAAGAGAAAAAATATGCCATGTTGTTTTTAATTAGATATATTATAAATTAGATGCACTTTCAAAATCAAGCAGATTAAAAAGGTAAAAAATTAATACTCTTAAGAACTGCGTCTATTCCTGTAAAATAGCTTAGTTTTGTTAATCAATAACTGACAACTCAAATTGGAAAAATAAATATCTTACATTTTGTCAAATGCCAATATATTCGAATGCAAAGTGAAACAACTCCGAATCATGTTTTGAGATTAATAGCAATTTCGGGGAAAAAAAAAAAAAAAAAAAAAAAAAGAAGAAGAAAAAAAAAGAAAGAAAGAAAAGAAAACATATTGCCAGAATAGGGAAAAACCAAAGAAGACGCATTAATTAACAGCTCCATTAATTTTTTTAATACAGCAAGAAACAGAATTTCAGTTGATTTAGCTGTATTTTCCTTAATATGAATGTCGCTGCATTCCTAGATAGCACAAATACGAGTACTATTCCATTTAAAGCAACCTTAGCTTGCACTCCACATGAATTTCTCATTTAACAAGGTACGTTGCTCCCTGCACCTGGATACAGTCGCAACCTAATTTGAATGCGAATTCCATTTCGAATTCTAATTTTAATGCGTTCAATCATTACCATCCCAATAAGTTAGAGAGTGTTCCAAAGAGTAAAACTTCATCACATACGCCAATTAGTAGATGGCTCCCTGGTCATTAAGGCTTGTTTTCGAGTTCGCTTACAAGCGCATAATGTTCTAAACATACTTGGGACCGTAATCCCACTTGGAGACAGAATTTTTACTTCATTACATGGGTACTAATGCTTTGATCAGTTACGAAGCATTAGATTCGGATGACCCTAAAAGAAACAAAATGAAATCAACAATGCATGATTTGTTCCAGTATTTCTAGAAATGCACGAAGCAAAATAAAGCACTAAGTTCTATTAATGTAATTTTGCTTCCATGAAGCAATTTAAACAACTTTCTCAAAAGCGGATAAGTTTATTTCATTCTTTTATTTACATTAAGTATTTATATGTATAATAATAATAATTATCTAGATGTTAATACAAAGAATTGAGTGAGTATGTTTGTAATATACATGGTTAGTTAATATATTAACCATTTTTCTAAAAGCCTGAGTTGAGTTAAATTGAGTTGAGAGCAGAATCTGGACACCCGTGTGGCTTATTAAGACTATTCGGGTCTAGTCCAGGTTCCGCAACTATCCGGGGCAACACCTCATGGGGCCTATAAGGGCATACATTGGTCCTGTATACATGCTTACATAGTTCATAACATATGCTTATAGTTACATAGTTCATAATATATGCTTACATAGTTACATAGTTCATAGTACATGCTTATATGCAAGTAGTTCATAATACATAGATCTTTCATAATACTTGCTTACATAGAGTTCATACATATGCATGCTTACATAGTACATAGTTGCTTACATAGTTCATAATAACTTTCATTGGCCATAGTACATACATGTTTCATAATATATACAGTGGGCGGTATTACATAAATTTTTCATAATATATACAATAAAAAAAATTAAAAAAAAAAAAAAAAGATAGAAGAGAGAGAGAGAGAGAACAGAGATTGACAAGGAACTACTCCACACTGCACAAATCTGTTCCCAATTCCTCAAGTTTCTGCATTATCTTGCATATTTTGATACGAAATGCTGGCTGTTTGATCAGATAACACTTATGAGAAGTTGCCTGTTCCGGAAGCTGCACATGCCACTGTGCGGTTAGAGGGCATTGGGTCAAGTAATGGTCTGGTTTGCCAATGCCTCCACAGACACAACTTTCGGTATTTGCATTTCCTCTCTCATAGTAATAGGAGGGGAAAGGCTCGTGCGCCGTAACAAATCTCGTTATTTGTGGGGATGACTCGAGACGATCGAGCGAAACTTTATGGTAATATTCATAGGTCTTCCTGCTTTGTTCGGTAGAGTCCCATTCCCATTGCCACTGGTGCTGAGCTGCTGTCCTTGTCACTTTTTTAAGGTGAGACCACGGGAGTTTGGTAATTATGCATTGTGCATCGATATTGTGAGCTGCTTCTTTTGCTAGCCTGTCGGCTTCCTCATTACCTTGAATGCCGGCATGTGCCTTTATCCAAGATATGAGGATATTCATTGTCGACGAGCGCTCCTTCAGCGTGTCCTGAATCTCCGCTATGATAGGAGAAGGATGTCTGGGATTTCGTAAGGCGTATATGACCGAGAGGCTGTCTGTAAGAATATTAATAGTGGATCCTACTGGGGGCTTGTTAACTCGATTGCTTTGCGAATCGCAATTGCTTCGGCCTGGAAAACTGAATTATTCTGTCCCATATGACCTTTCCATGTTATCAGCGTTTCCTTGTTCTTAGTTACTATAATGCCACAGCCTAATTGTCCGTCAACTTTTGAACCATACGTATAAACATAATATTGATCCTTTATGTCAGAGTCATCTTTCCATGATGTGTGGGCCGAGACTCCTTTTCCGTAGTTAGACGAATGGATGACATTTACCGGCCTTATTTTTTTCATGGAGGCTGTGCTGAGAGGTGGTGTGTGCTACAACCCTTTTTCAATGGTGTGAAGGATGGGTTGCATTTATGAGACGTTTTGTTTCATACTCCTCTGGATCATAGCATAGCGGTCCAAAAGTAGTGCAGAGATGTAACTGGAGAACAGTCTAAAAGCCTGAGAACATCGGCCAAATGGGTGACACAGGTAGTTCGTCGTTAGATTCTTTTCTCGGTAACGAAATGGGCTAGCTTCGCGAGGTTGCCGTATATTTTGCCATGCGTAACGTGAATATGAGATAATCTAACTTAATCTTTCAGAAGTCTGCTTATTGCGCAGCAAATTACTAGGAAAGGATTATTTAATTAAACTTGATACGATATTCCTTTGCATCAAAATCTTTTGTCCTGATAGTAATACAAATCTTTTTTCTCATTAGCCATTATTATGCAGAAACTCAAAGATAAAACTATACCAGCGATGTCAAACTAAAACTGCATGCAGGCCAAATTCACGATCTGAAAGCAGCTAACAGGTCGATATTTTTTTTAACAAAATGAAATTTTTGTCAACAAAATAAAATTTTTTAATCTAAATTTTAAATTTTGTGCACTAAATATATATCAATGTATATAATAATAATAATGATTCAAAGGAAAATCTAAAATTTAAATTTATTTTCCGTATTAAATCCAGAGGTTATTTTCACTTTGTAATCCAAACGAAAAGACAACTATATCAAATTTTCAGACTGACATTTATTTCAAATAATATTAATATATTGAATTAAATACTTAACTTACTTACTTAAAATAAAAAATAGTGCGTCTTAGTATTGTATATAAATTTGAATTTGTATGCTAATACTAATCAATGTCTGATTATAAACAGCAGGCGTATTAAATAAAAAAAATCTGAAAGGTTTCAGATTTTAAATTACGTCCAAAGGGGTGTTTTTTTTAACGTTTTATGTGTTATTTTTATTTATTAAATATCACTTTCTTCGCATTTAAACTATGAAACACAGTTCAAGAGCAATATCACAAAATCATTTTAATTTGAGCATATCTTTAGAATTTCCGATACACAATCTCTCGCGCTGGAGATTTTTTCTGTACTACGTTGCCATTGCTCACTTTCGAAATCCTTGAGTTTATTAATCGAAAATTCATTAAAGTTTTACAAAATATATGAAATCGATGATAAAACAAAATTCCAAATTTCAAATTTGGGCTTGCAGATGCCCATATTCGCAATAGGATAACGTCATTCAAAATTGGATGGCTCTAGGTACCGTTGTTTTATCACAATGCTAGGAACATACATACATTTATGCAGTTTCTTCATTATTTAATTTCTTCAACTATAATACGGGGCGATAATATTTTGCGGCAACAATTTGGAAAGTGAAACGGACATTCAGAGTAATTCGATGCAAAATCGCAAACCGAAAACAATAGCTCCTTTGGACTAACAAATTACAAAATATTTGCAAGTGGGACCAAACTTGAGAATAAATAATGACTTGAGAAATAAACTTGAGAATACCAAACTTGAGAATAAATAATGAAAACCTATTCTCTTTATTTTATTTATTAATTTTTTTCCTCAACGTATATAGAAAAGATGCATATATTTACATGTAAATAATTATAAATTTCTTTAT